CCTTGTATCCTTGGTGTAGCAAGAAGGAAGTGCAAGAGCAAGAGGGGAGGTGCGATTCTAGCAGTTCCAGGGATTCAGAGACTTCATTTTGAGTTAATAGTTCCAACCTCCTTCAGTTTTGGTGCTGATCTATAGATTTATGGTTTTCTAACCCCTTTGGAGAGTGATTATGTGGAGCAAATGGTCCCTCTTCGAGTTTGTGCCTTGGATCTGGACTCAAAGAGGTCCAGAGACCTTAACCCTTGGAGCTTTATGGATTAGTTTGGGGTTATTGGACTTAGGTTGCCATTTTTGGGACTAAATCTCCTTTTGATGCCTTGTTGTTGTTATACAAGCATCAAGTTTCGAGCTTTACGTGACATTCATGCTTGGGAAGGCCATATCTTTGATTTAGGGAAACAGATCTGACCTCAGGGGGCCAGTAGAGTTTGTGTATGGCATGAACTCGTCGAGTTGTTCTTGAGACTCGGCGAGTAGGGTTAGGGTTTCACGTAAATTGCTCAATAAACAGACTTGTTGAGTTGGGGGATGACTCAGTGAGTCAGAAGGGAGTTAGAGGACTCGAGTTCAAGGCGGTACTCGCCGAGTTATTCTTGAGACTCGACAAGTTGAGTTGTGGTGGCCCCGCGATTCATGCCTAGTATGACTTGTCAAGCATAGGGAGGGACTTGGCGTGCCAAGTGGGACAAAGTGTTAAAGGTCATGTGTGAACTCGCAGAGTCACCAGAGTGAACTCGGCGAGTAGGGTCAAAGTGTGACTGTTGACTTTTAGGGTTTGGTCAATTGAGTACTTTGTTGAGAGGAGGGTAAAATAGCTTTTTTCCCTCCTGAGAGTGCCAAAGGCAGGTTGAGTCTAGTCTTGAGAATTATATTTATAAGAGTATTTATTTTATGTGAATAGGCGATGACTAGGCAGTATTCCTACCGAGTCAGAGATTTACTGAGACGCCTGAGGTGAGTCTTCTCACTATACTTTACCTAGTGTGGTAACAGAGTTATGTGATAAAGTATTCTAGAGTTATGTTCCAGTGTAATTGCATGTTATTTATATGCTATATGATTTATTGTGATATGTGCTATGTATGATTCAGAGTTACAGAGTTAGGACCTTCGGGTCCACAGAGTTAGGACTTTCGAGTCCACAGAGTTAGGGCCAGAGGGCCCATAGAGAGTTGGAACTGGAGGGCCCCACTGAGACACATAGACCTGAGGGTCAACAGAGTTACAGCCTCGAGTGGCTATTATGTGTTAGAGTGGTATTTTGGGGAATTCACTAAGCATTTCTGCTTACAATGTTATGTGTTATGTGTTTCAGGTACCAACGACGATCGCGGGAAGGTGCCGGCATGATCCGTACACACGCATACTGGATTTTTTTATATATATATTTTGATCTTGGGTTTTGTATTGATACAATGTTGTTATAACGATTTGTTTATTCAAATGATATTTTAAGGGTTACAAAAGTGAAAAATTGTTCAAATTTTTACGTTGTTACATCGGTGGGGGGGGGGGGGTGGGGGGGGGATACAAGCAAAAGTACAAGGGAATCTTGTACTCAAAACTTATTATTTCGTATGAGATGTTACATGTTCAGTATGATTTTGACACAGAAAACCGTATTAGCAACCATTTAACTTGTAGAGTTTGTTTTCGAAACTAAAACAAGGAAAAATTGTGAAACTCATTATAAAATGATATATATTTTATATTTCACAAAGGATTTCATGCCATTCATAAAACAAGATTTTTCATATTATTACTTTTAAATTCATTCATCTTAAGATTGGAGACACGTCCTCGGTAACAATCCCCAGGGATACGAGAGTGGAGGACCGCCCCTGTAACCAGAATCTCTCGGAGGGAGAACGTGACCTTTGTGTATAGATCTATATGGGACTGACTACCCCGCACCTGGCTGCTAGCTACAATGGGACCGACAGGTCCACGGGTGACAAAGTCATAAAATGATACTGGCCCTGTTACGAGCCATATCTAGTTTATTGTATGGTTATGGAACTCGTAACTTAGATAATAGAGATTTACTTTAGTAATTATAAACCTAGTGAACTAACCTCAAAGTAATAACTGTTTTGATTACTAGAGGGTATCAGTAATACCCTTAGGAATTAGTTTACTACCTACTTATTAGTTTTATATACGTGTTAAAACTAACGTACTTTTCAAGGATAACCAGGTTTTCAGGGAAACTTCACTTTACTAGTATGGTAGATACTTGTACACTTCATTCCGGATCGATAACAAACCAACTTAAGGAAAATAAGGGTTTTTCCTGGGATAACTTTACTTTTCATGAACAAACTGTTTAACAAATGAATAACCAAACTACTTTTATAAGAAAATATGAGATTTTCTTGGGAAACAACTTTTCATAAAACCAAAGGAAACTTATTCTTTTACCAGAAACAAACCGTTTATGAACTCACCAACTTTATGCTGATATTTTAAAAACTGTTTGTGTTCTCAGGTTCTCGTTAGACAGGTATCCCGCGTTCTTTTGGAGAAGACGGAGCGTATAGAAATCTCGTCTTTACTTTTGTTCAAACTGATGTGTGTGTGTGTGTGTGTGTGTATATATATATATATATATATATATATATATATATATATATATATATATATATAACATGTATTTCCTTACTTTCAAACAAATGTAAATATTCCTATGTAATGTAATGGTTGTGTTTACTATGCTTGCTATGTACATTGGTTGTGATACTACGCATGACGTCCTCCGTCCCGGAACATTTCCGCTGTTGGTTTCGGGGTGTGACATAATTGTCTTATACCTTACGTTTTTTTGTTATTACAAGTAATATCTTTAAATTCTTTAAACTGTTTGAACTCCAAAGTATGGTTAAAAACCACACAAAATAACCGCACCAAATCCATGCGGTTAATAACCGAAACAAAAAAAAAAAAAAAAACTGCACCGCAAAAATAATCGCCTAACCGCACCGTAAAAATAACAGCACAAAGCGGTTTTGAAAATGGATTAACTGCATTTGCGGTTAGTGGTGAGGTTTTTGCCAATAACCGCACCGTGCTCATCCCTAGGTGGTAGTTAAGTTAAAGAACATAATGAAATATCTATATGTTCGTGTAATGATATTTTCTAATAACACGTGAATATATAACATCATGCGTAATAGCAAGTAGACACTTATTGATTATGTATTAATAAATATTATCAAATCTTGTATTGGTCATGCCTAACATAGTATTTCTCACTTTGACACTCGCAACGATACATAGGAAGAACATAGAGACTTTGAAGTGGTCAACAAACAATAGTGAAGTACATAGTCGACCATTATATTTCTAAAAATTAGCAACAAATGTATTTTCTTTGTTTATAATAAAAAAAAATTATGTTTATAAATGTTTTGTTAATAATTATATCCATTAATTTCATAGTAATTTTCAAAAAAATCTCAATATTTTGGTTATCGGGTAATTTTCAAAAAAGTCATAATATTAACGAAAAATGATAGAATACCGGCTAAATCTATGAAACCGGCTAAAAAGGGTTTTTTCGAAGTTTTAGCCGGTATTATGTGTTTTTCTGTAAACAAAAATTAGTTCGGAACTTTTTCATAAATTAGATTAAAATTTTATGACTTTTTTTTTTTTGGAGATTTCCCTTTGAACTTTGATGGAGTTGCTTACATTATTTGGTATATAGTAGATCTTTTAGTATTTAACATTATTATGCATATATAATACCTAGATTTGTTTTAAAAAACAGGTTTGGTAAAAATATAACAAAATCTGTGAAAAAAAATTAAAAAAAGCTATATTGATGACAAGGGGTCGCTAAAGGTCTTAAATATAACAACAATTTTGACCTTTACTGACTAAAAGTCGTCGGTATAGCTAAAACAGAAAAACGGTTACAATATTTTCTAGATGATATCTCGTCTATTCATAACTATAGGTTTTACCGACGACTTATCGTTGACATAAGTGTCGAAAATGTCGTCAGAACAGGGTATGATCCTTGTAGTGTTTCACATGCGCGCGCGCGCGCACACACACACACAGAGAGAGAGAGAGAGAGAGAGAGAGAGAGAGAGAGAGAGAGAGAGAGAGAGAGAGAGAGAGAGAGAGAGAGAGAGAGAGAGAGAGAGAGAGAGAGAGAGAGAGAGAGAGAGAGAGAGAGAGAGAGAGAGAGAGAGAGAGAGAGAGAGAGAGAGAGAGAGAGAGAGAGACTTTGGGCATGCAAGCGGTAACCTTACGGGTGCGATTGAGTATAGTTCTTTAAAATATAACCCTACAGCGACCACATGTCGTAGCTATAGCCAAACAAAAACAATGTCGTTTCATTATTTAACATAAATCAGAAAAAAAAAAAAATGCAACCTTGTGCTGAGGATGCTCCTTTATAACACACCAACGGGAAGTTGTTGGTATATATTTTAGAAACCCACGTATATAGTTTTCATTTCCCACCTTATCTATTCTGACGCCAAGTCGTCCGTGTAGACTTTGAGGTCAAACCATCATGGTCAACTCTCGGTATAGCCCCATCTGTAGTGATGACACATGTAGTCTGTATGGTGTTCGTCGGGATCGGGGTAAATTCTTGTAGCTCCAAGTTCCAAAAAAATCAAATTCTATGAATACTATCGATGATATATCTCGCAAGATACAGAAAGTGGGAGACAAAAAACTGCAGCCACAAGTCAGTGACTGGATCAATGGGAATGAAGATCTTCTAGAAACAGCTTTGTTATTTACAGCATCAGCTAATCTATCGAATTTGTAGAGTTAATTTATTTATTTATTTATAATTAATAATCGTTTTGCAAGCTGGCAAAGGCAAGAGACCCACATGCCAGTTTTATAATACTCATTTTGTTAGGTGGCGACTCACTGTTTTAGATCTAATCTTAAAGTTCTATATATTGTTAAAATAGATGCAATATCATCTCTTTCAAGCACTTTGATCTTTGAAAGTTTTAACACTAATCAAAACGATGTCTGACCTAAGACAGTTTGAACACCTCAAAATACAATTAGAAGCTATAAAATCAGCAACAAACAACTTTTCTGAAGACAATTGCATCGGAAGAGGAGGATTTGGGAAAGTTTATAAGGGAAAACTCACCCATTCAAAGCGGCATACCATGGTTGCTATAAAACGTTTAGATCGCACATTTGGGCAAGGAGACTCGGAGTTTTGGAAAGAGATCATTATTCTTTCTCTTTACAAACATGATAATATTGTGTCTCTCGTAGGGTTTTGTGATGATATTGGCGAGAAGATCCTTGTGTATGAGTACACATCAAAGAGAAGTCTTGACATGTATCTCAACAACAGTGATCTAACATGGATTCTACGCCTTAAAATATGTATTGGTGCAGCTTGTGGACTTGCGTACCTTCATAGGGATGTTGGACCCAAGAAAGAGTATTACACCGTGATATTAAAAGTGCCAACATCCTATTAGAGGAAAATTGGAATGCCAGGATAGCAGATTTTGGTCTATCTAAATTTGGTCCAGCTAACCAGCGATATTCCTTCCTTGTCTCTAAAGCTTGTGGCACTCTTGGTTATTGTGATCCGCTTTACGTAGAGACGGGTTTATTAACAAAGGAGTCAGATGTTTACTCTTTTGGTGTGGTTTTGTTTGAAGTTTTGTGTGGGAGGTTGTGTATTCGTCAAAAGGATATGGGCCCACCTTTAACTGAGTTGGTGAAAAGGTGCTACGAAGGGAACAGCCTAAATGGAATTATTTTTGGTAAGATTAAGGATGAAATAAATCCTAGTTCTTTGAAGGCGTTTACAGAAATTGCTTATAGATGTTTAAAGAGAAACCGTGAAGAACGTCCGTTAATGAAAGAGGTGGTGAGAATGCTTGAAATTGCATTCAGATATCAAGTATGTTTGTTTTTTTTCCTTAATTTCTATTCACTAATTTTATGTATAATCATCTTAATCTATTAATCCATTATAATTTTGAAGAGCAATGATACGATACCTTCACAATCAAAGGGCGGTTTATGGACACCTCAGAAACAGGGGAACCAATCAAGGTATGTGGATCTCAATGACTACATGCACAAGTAAATTGTTTCATATTTTGCTTTATATTCATTTAGCAAAAATTGATTAATTTTCTTAATTTGTAGGGCTCCTGAAATCGATATTATGGAGCTTGAGAGTCTGTTTTCAACAGCTTCAGTGTTTACACACATACACAAGGATAATGATACGCCACATTCTGAAAATCTCAAACCAGAAAACATTGATTTGGTTAGTGGATTCAACTTGTACTTTAAATGGACATATTTAAAAGTTTAAGTATTTTAATACCCTGGAAAGATCCATTTTTGTGTTTACTTTTCTTCCAATTTTATATCTACCTCTAAAATAACAATAAGATATTATGTTAAAACATCTCATTGATTCACTTTTGTACTAAAAACATTTAAATTCTTTTTTGCAGGCATTGCTAAGTAATTTTGATGATTTTTCTTTAAATTATTTTCAGGTTCATCCAGAAAGAGCAAGTAATTGTGAAATCATGCTTGGGAAAATGAAGATTCCTCTACCTGATATTATTGTAAGTTTATATAATGCATAAATAAAAAAAAAAAAAAAAAAAAAAAAAAAAAAATCTAAGGCCCGGTTTAGTATATGGTGGAATGGATCATAAAGAAATGGAACGAAGGGTTGTAGGAATGAAATTAATTATTCAAACATATTGTTGTTATGTATAATAAGAATACTATCTAAAGTTAAATTGATAAATAAAGAAAAAACTTATTTTATAAAAATAAACTTTAATTAAATTAAGATATATAAATTGAATATAAACATGTTTCATGTTGTTTAAAATATACGCTATATGCATTTCAGCTAGTCACAAATAAGATACTTATCATTAAAAAAGTATTTATGAAAACGAAAATTAAATACCAATCTTGAAATAGAATTATAATAAAACATTTTGGAAAATAGAAAAAATAATTTTACTGATGTTTTTAAAATCAGTTAAACACACCCCTCCCCCATGGAATGAAAATTAACCTATGAGAAGGAATCACGTTCCTCAAGGTATATGCTCCATTCCATTCCTTTGTAGCAAAGAAATAACAATTTTATTTATTTATTTGTTTGTTTTCAACGATAAACACTACATTAAGGTTTTCAGTAAGTTATATTTTTCCACAATTACACGTTATAGCTAGATTGTGAAAATAAACTCAAGACACCAACACAGAAGTATAAAAAACATTTCTAGTTTTATTAAGTTATAGTTTGCTTTAATGTCTGATGTAGGATTATAACATATAAGAAGTTGTGTTTGATTTTCAGAATGCCATCCTTGCATTAGATCCTTCTGCTTTGAATCTTGATCAAGTTGATAATCTTATCAAATTTTGTCCTACAGAAAAAGAAATGGAGATGATAAAGGTATTTTCTGCTTTGTTCTTCTCCTCTCCTTAATTTGTATACTTACACTTCATATGCAATAATTGTATTTCTACATCTCAGAGCTATACAGGAGACAAGAAAATGCTAGGACAATGTGAACAGGTATTTTTACTTGTAGATTGCAACTATTGCATAAAGATATAATAATTAAGTGCACATTACAAGGAATAGCAGTGTACTTAATTTTATCATGATTGCAATGTATTTACTTTACGCTAGAGATAATACCAATACATAACTTGAAACTTATATAATGCTTAAAGTTTCATGTTCCATATTGCTATTATCGATAAAAAAAAAATTAAGCTTACTGCTATTATAGGGTATGGAATTGCATGTATATTGCTATGATGGGCATAGAAACAGAACTACGTTGCTATTACGGATAAAAAATAAAGTACCTTTTACATACCACTATATTCGTTTAAAAAAAAAAGGTATATAGCTATTATGGGTAAACAACAGAAGTACATTGCTATTATTAGTAAAAAATAATGTTAATGCCTATATTGTTAAAAAGAGTAAAGTACATTGCTATTCCTTGCAAATTTCCTATTATTAATTCCTTACATAACACATTATGATACTTGGACTTGTAGTTTTTCTTGCAGTGTGCGAACATCCCAAGGATAGAGACAAAACTACGAGTATTTGCATTCAAAATTAGTTTTATGAGTCGGGTGAACATTCTTACAAAATACTTTTACAATTTCTTTCTCATTTATGCTATACTTTACATATGCTAGAAGGAAGAGTTGGCTATAAGGGATTAATTAGTTTGACTTGCATGTATTCTCTTAATGCTTTGTAATAAACGGGTAACTAGGGACGTTTATGTCATTTTACTAGTTAGGCCGGTGGACATCAGATATAAATAGTAGGTCAGTGTTAGGTTATCGGGATCTATACCAATCTACCTTTCTTTATTGCCTTAATTTCAAATCTTTTTGCAGGTTAACAATTTCAGAGACACCCTGAATACAATCAATGAAGCTACTAGAGAGGTGACTTTCATCATAAAGATTATGCAGATACTTGCAGTTTTTTGTGAATTTTTAATTTCTATTTACATAATTTAGATCAAGTTTTTGTGAATTTTTAATTTCTATTTACATAATTTAGATTAAGGAATCAACAGATCTGGCTAAGATAATGCAGACAATTGTTAAAATGGGGAATACATTAAATGGAGGCACAGGTAAAGCTAAAGTTGATGAAATATCTTAATCTTGATATCTTGGAGGTTGTATTTTTGTTTTTATGTTTAATGAAATTATGACGTTCTTTTATCTATGTTTTAGAATCTTCGGGAAGATTTAGGTTAGATAGTTTTAATCAGTTGGGTGAAAAACGGTCAACAAACAACAAGATCACATTGTTGCATTTCTTATGCAAGGTATAATTTTTCTTGAGTATTAATTTTGTCTTCACACTAGATATCAATTAATTAATTAAAGTTAAAATTAGAGTAAATTACAAGAATGGTCCATGTGATATATCAAAAGTTGCAGGTTCAGTCCAAGTTTTTTTTTTTCTTCTTGCCTTTAAGTTTGGTTTTTGTCTCTTATACTGACCGGGTTAGAAAAAGGTAATTAAAACCTTGTAAAATGACATTTTATTATTATTTAAGAAAATTAAACACAAATATATGTTGGACTACAATAGATTTATTTATCCACCGATTATGTTCAGAAAGTCATGTTTAATTCTCAAAAGAGCATTTGATTGTTACTCATGATCATCAAAATTAATAATGTTTTAATCTCATGGAATATATTCCCAGAAAAAAGCATTAGCTACAATTTTCTTATAAATTTTCATGTCACTTTGATTATGTTTTGATTTTGTGAGCTTACATACTACGTACTATTGCTAATTAATTAGGTCGTTGCTGAGCAAACGCCTGAATTGTTGGACTTTGATAAGGATTTGATTCACTTGCAAGCTGCCTATAGGGTAAATTGAAGGGAAATGAACATAAACGCCATTGTAGTTTGGCTAAAATAAGGTTTTAAGCTCCTAATTTTATTTGGTTCTATAAAAACAACCCATGTTTGCAAAAAAAAAAAAAAAAAAAAAAGTCCAACGCCACCACTATGACCCCAATTGCCGGTTCAACAAGTTACCATGATAAGATGCTATTTTTTTTTCAATAAAATCACCCAGCTACACATTTTTCTTATTTAACCGCCATAACAATTTTTTTTTTTTTGGTATTTTTTTGTTAAACACATTATTATTTTTTTGTAATAAAAAGTTGTTGAAAATAAAATAAATTGTTAAAGGCGGTATTTTGTTTTGTTGGATTTTTTTTTTTTTTAAAATTTTTTGTACTTTTTGTATGTTTATTTAAAAATGATTCATTTGTTCTCACAATAATAATTTTTATAATTTGATAGCTTTGACCTATAATATGTTTTTCCAGGGATTTTTGGCTTATGTGGAATTTTTCTAGAATTTAAGATAAGATGTATATATATTTTTTAATGTTTTTTAAGAGTTGTTTATTTATTCTCAAACTAACGGGCTTTTATTGGCAACAACCACCAAAAGAATTCCTGGAACTTTACTGTCAATGGTCTATGGCATTAATTAGGTTTTTTGTGCCAGCAGCAACAAATATTTTCTAAAAAAAGTAGTCCTATGAAAATGAGTAAATTAATGAAATCGTCTCTATAGTTTGGTTAAAATTATACGTTTAATCTCTAACTTTTCTTTTGTACTCGGATCGTCCCTGTGGTTTGATTTTGTTGCATTTTTCGTCCCTGTGGTTTGATTTTGTTGCGTTTTTCGTCCTTTACATAGATAAAGTTAGGGACCAAACATGCAATTTTGACCAAACCACAGGGACGAAAAATACAACAAAATCAAACCACAGGGACGATCCGAGTGCAAAATAAAAGTTAGGGACAAAATATGTAATTTTAACCAAACCATAAGGACGATTTCAATAATTTTATGTGCCGACACACTTTTAGGCTAAAGGGTGTGGCTGCGGTTTGGGGCCGCGGTTTGTGCCACCTCAGCCGCGCACACCTCCCTCAGGCCGCGGTTCTCTGCGGTTTTGGCTGCAGTGCGGTAGTCCATGGCTGCACTCATTTTTCTCTTTTCTCCTCTTTTACTTGTACTTTTTCTCTTCTCTCAACCAATTATCTTCTTTCTTTTCTCTCTCCTAACCTTTTTCCCACTCTTTCATTGCGGTTTCTAGTTGATGAAATAAGAACAAATCTGAGTTGGCGTCTACGTGGCATAGGAGGGAGTGCGGTTTCGGTGGCACCACTCCCTCCAGCCTTACTAACACTAACAATTTTAGGAGAAAAAAAAATCTTCACATTGTGGTTTTCCTCTTTTTTCTAATTTTAACAAAAAGAAAATTAAAAACAATTTCTAAAAATATTGTGTTTAACAAAAGAAAAGCTAAAAAATTACGAAAAAAGTTGTTATATAGTGGTCAAATGTGTTAAAGTTGGGTGGCTTTAGTGGAAAAAAATCACTTTATAATAGTAACTTGCTGAACTAGCAATAGCCACAATAGTTGCATTGAATTTATTTATTTATTTTTAATATTTTGCAAACATTGATGGTTTTTTTTAACGATATAAAATATGGAGCTTAAACCGGGCCAAAATACAATGGTTTTTATGTGATTTGCACTAAAGTGAATACCTTAAAAGTATCAGAATTTGTTTCCTGAGTAAACTATATTTTTTGTTTCCGAGTATAGTTGATTTTTTTTGTCTTTCAGTTTTGTTCCCCAAAAGTTTCTTTTGCAATTCCATTTCTTATTTTAGGTTTTTATAACATTATTGGTCCAAGTTCAAAATAGAATGGCTATATTTTTTGGACTAAAATTGCAAAAAGTAGCTATACTTTTGGTATAAAAAATAACTATTTTACTTAGAAAAAGGACCAAATACGTATCAAGAATCTCAATTAACGAACAAGTTTGCAAATAATAATAATAATAATAATAATAATAATAATAAAAACAAAGCAAAACAAAAGAAAAAAAACATTTTGGGACCAAAAATGCAAGAAACAGCCATACTAAGGATCCTACTAAAATGTAATTTACTCTTCTTATTTTTGCAATCCGGATGCATAATGATGGCTTGTATTTTTTTTGTATTTTTGTATATATATATATATATATATATATATATATATATATATATATATATATATATATATATATATATTTTTCCATTTGGCTATATATCGACATCAAAAGTATAAAATACAAACCAAAATTCTATCGGAGGGCATGCATGCATTATTTAAAGGCGTTGAAAGGGTACAGCAGGAATTTGATGCTTCAGTCAATGATGGTCGATACCAAGAGGTATTACGTATATATACGTTTACTTTTTTTTTTTTTCCTTCCAAAATACTAAACTAATTTTTCTTCAACCACCTTCCAGGTCTTGCAGAATTTTCTTGATAGTGCCAATGCTCAACTGCAAACTCTTAGCTCCTTCTATAGTAACGTGGTAAGTCTTTCTGTAACTGCTATGCATCCATTTTAGGTACATATTTTTGAATCAATACACGAAGCTTTTGATTTACTGTTCTGGTCTTTGATTTTATCTTAAAAGTGAGTCCTTAGAAGTAAACCGTTAAGTCGAGTAACTTTTTCTTTATAGGTTCACATTTAACAACATATTTAGAAAAGAAAGAGAAAAGATGAGTTCATTATGTAACAAGAATAAACGTTTTGCAGGGTCGATATATAGACTCACTTCCTTTATATTTTGGGGAGGATCCCAGTCGGTGTCCATGGGAGCAAGGTATGTTGTAGCTTTTAGTTTCATTATCTTAATTGTCACTTATGGTGTAAATGTATGCATGTAAGTGTATGTAGGATTGCTTAGTTTGTATAACAACATATAAAAGAGTGTTGTGAAATCCATATGATAAAGTAGGTATTGTGTAGGCCTGTTACTCTTATGCAATTGTCCATAGCGATCTTAGACACTATATATGTGTATCCTTTGCATTCTCTTGAGCATAGTTGCAAAAGTCAATAGGGGGGATTAGGTTGGTCAACCGGAGATTAGGATTGGCCGGGGACCTTAAATTAAAAGCAGTTAAATAAATAAATTAATTAAATACCACTAATATCATAAAGAGAATAGGTAAGTATGACTAATATCATGAGATTGATTATTCCTCGAAAAGTTATCAATCTAGAACTAGTTTGGTGTGTTAGATATTCATCTAGATCATTTCCTCTACTTCTCCCATGAGTTCCTCAAATCCATCAACAAGAAACTAAGATCTCATTTTTCTTTAAAGGATGAAATACAATGCAAGTAAGGGGGCGAGCGCCTACTTATACTTGAGGACTCCAAATCTACACATAATACTAAAACAAATAAACACCAAGGTATACTAGAGCTATAAGAGCATATCTAGATTATTCCATCTAGATGGACTTGCCCTTTTTAGACAAATGAGTATATATGTACCTTGCTCTAGTGTCATGTTGATTTTCTTTGGTGTCTTAGCAATTAGGTGTGAGCCACATGTATTACATGGATGTATTTAAAACAATTAAATATGTATAAACATTTGAGAAATTTGAATTTATAAGAAAAATGAGAAAAATATTGAATTACTAAAATTAAAGTGTTTTTTTTCTCTTTTAAATTTAAACAAATCATTTATATAAAATAATCAAAACAAATTAATGAGATTTTATTTTAAAATTTTGAAGTTATAAGGAAAGTCCATTAATGAAATTGATATGCATTTATTATTAAATTTAAATATCATATGAAATTGAATAAAATAGGAAAACCACAAAATTACATATGGAAAAAAATTAATTCAAAATAACCACAAAATGACATGTGACAAAATGAATGAGAGTGTGATAAGTGGCAAAAAAAACCTTCATTTATTAAAGAAGATTTAAATATCATATGAAATTTAATAAAATATGAAAACCACAAAATTACATATGGAATAAAAATTATTTCAAAATAACCACAAAATGACATGTGACAAAATAAATGAGAGTGTGACAAGTGGCAAAAAAAACCTTCATTTATTAAAAAAGATTCGACGCTCATTGTTGACACTTTGAGCCAATTTGAACTTCATCATAATACTTGTTAACTTTTAGACAAAACTGCAAAAATGGTCTCTCCCTCAGTTCATCTTCTCCAACCAAAAAACATGATTACAGCTCCAAAACATCGTTATGTATAGATAACGAAGGCAAAAGTGAGTCCTCATAAAGTGGCATAACAACAATAACACCAGCAGAAGAGGAGGTAGAATCGAAATCAGAGATCGGTTCTTCCTCATCCAAGACTGTTGGTCGATCGAAAAGGAAAACGACAATAATGAGGGGGAGAATCGGACTTATAGGAGTCGCAAGAGGTGACGGGGCTGGTCGGAGATGACCTTTGGAAGCAACAACTAACGACGAAAGTGGTTCACAACAACGTCGATGATGGTTGCAGGGGTTGCTCCGATGGCTTCTGTTGCTTCGTTTTCTCCCTTTTCCGGTGAGCTCGAAGAGAGGGAGGGTAGGGAGGAATGAGGGCTATGTTTGGTGGTGATTTTTGATATATATATATATATATATATATATATATATATATATATATATATATATAGAGAGAGAGAGAGAGAGAGAGAGGTATGAGGTAGGTATCGATGGTGGTGGGTCGGACGTCACACAGTAGTAGCGGCGACAGCTAGGTGAAGGTGGTGACGATGGGCGGCGATGGCTGCTTTTCTGCCTCTTTTCCTTCCTGTTCCGACGAGCACCATACGAACAAGGTAGGTCGAAGGAGGTGTTTGGGTGGGTTCTCTTGTCTAAAACAGGGGTTATTGGATGGTGGAGATATGGTGGATCACGGTGGCAGTGGGTGGTCGAGGGTGGTAGTCCTTGACTGCTCTTGATTCCCTCTTCGATCCTTGACATTAAATCAGTGAGAGGGGGGGAAAAGGAGGTGAGGTGGTGAGGTTTCTGTCTTACAATGGTGAGGGAACGGTGCTTCATGGCAGCAGCTGGCTTAGTCCAAGAACAAACAACCATCTCGGTCTGTATCACTCTTCCAATATACTACCAATTCGGTTTAGAGGAAAAGGATTTTTTGCACCACTTCAATGGGGAAGTTTGACTTTCACAAGGAGAGAGAGAGAGAGAGAGAGAGAGAGAGAGAGAGAGAGAGAGAGAGAGAGAGAGAGAGAGAGAGAGAGAGAGAGAGAGAGAGAGAGAGAGAGAGAGAGAGAGAGAGAGAGAGAGAGAGAGAGAGAGAGGTGGGCCCCATTTTATTATTAAATAGAAAAAAATATAAAAAATATATCAAGAGGACAGTTTAGTCATTTCAAGTTTCACAGGGACCATTTTTACATATAAACTAGTCCAAAATGACCACTAATCCAAAAAAGTTAGGATTTGAACTAAAACTCAAAAAAATGCATACCACAGAGACCATTTTTGCAATTTTATCTAACTTTTATGAATTGTGTGGACAAAATAAAAACTACAATCATTAAATTTATATGCATATAAAACTACATTTAAGTTAACAACTGCTGTAAATAATAAAAACTACACACTTATAGAAATAATAAAAGAAACTTCATGCTAATTATATGCGCTTGAAAATATTAAAATGTGCCTATTTTAGGTCATTTATCCTTGCTTTAAGTGATGAGTTTTAACTAGAGCACGTGAGTTTTAACTAGAAGACACGGGGTTCATTATATTATACATTCTAAATATCTGAATACATTCAACAAAAAATGTGTAGAATTGATTGATTCGATTTATTAGTTGTATTTATGTGGATCTATTTCATGCTTTATGGTATTTGTTTTCGCAGTGATAAGTACTCTGGTGCGTTTTATAGAGATGTTCAAGAGAGCACATGATCAGAATAAAGCGTGGGCAGATTAAAAGACTCGATGTGTACCAAAAAATGGGAATTATGAAAAGATATGTTATATGTTACCTTTATTCGTAATCTTTACGGAGGAAGGTAGCTTTTTTTTTTTTTTAATGTATGTACAAAATACAAGGTACGTATATTAACCGATTGTTTCTAGGGAATAAAATGAATTAGGATTGTCATGAATTTTAGATTTTGTTCACATCGATTTTTATTTTTTTATCTCATATATCATTCAATTTTTGAAACTGTTCACATATTACCTTTGCGACTGGATGTAGGTTAAAAGGTAATATGTAAATAATTTCAACAAGTTAGATGCAAAACAGTTCTAACGGTGGATAACCCGGACGACCACCAATGGCCCACAACTCTAAGGGGCCCAAAATTTTTGGCATATATATATATATATATATATATATATATATGTGTGTGTGTGTGTGTGTGTGTGTGTGTTTCTTTTAGACTGAATTTAGCCAAACCTGATAATAGCCCCAAAAAATAAACAAACCGACCTATTCTAAGATGAACGCGCCTCGTCTTAAATTCTGGGAAGTGGGAATGTAACATTCTGTTTTGAGAAGCTTCTTATTTAGGGATTGTGGGCGATAAATGGATCAAGTAAAGATATTGGACTTCAATGGAATAAGGTTTAGACACTATTAGATGGTGATAATCTTGGTTGTGCGATCCAAGCCCTTGATTGCGTTTTGGAGTGAAAGGGTAAAATGGAAAAAGTGATGTTTCAGACATCTTTTTGAATTTAGGATTTACGTTTGGAAGGTGTTAAGGCAATGTAGAGTTGATATGATTGTAGAGCTTCTCATTACCTTTCCGTGGATATAAAGATCATTGAAATCATAGTTGAAACGAAGAAGTTATGACCGTTTGAAGTTATGACGGTTTCGGGTTAAGCCGCGTATGTTGGGCGTACGGGGAAGTACGTTGGGCGTACTAGGGTATCCTTGAGTACGCTGGGTGTACTAGGGTATCCCTGAGTACATTGATGTACCAGAAATATGTTGGGAATACACAATCAGTGCCCAAACCTTATTTTCGTGGTTTGAGCCATATTTAAGCTTGTTAACTTCCCCAAACCCATTTCATTCTCAGCCTCCACTTTCGCAACACCCTCCCTTCAAACCCTAACCCTAGTTTGAGCCTTGTGAGCAAATAGAAGGTGTTTTAAGTGCTTTGGAGTGTTCTTGGTGCATCTTGGAGAAGAATGAGCTCAGTGGAAAAGTGTTGGTTGCATTGGAGCTTGTAGATCCAGACTTTGTTCACCTTGATCTTTCTTCTAGAGGTATAAAGCTTGAATCTTGTTGATGCATTTGTTAGATCTAACTAGTTTTGGGTGTTATGAGCTTTTGGTCACTTTAGTGCATAAAGTTTAGATCTTGAAAGTTTGTGACCTTGTTATGCATAAAGTTGAAAACTTGATCCATCTAAACATCATATTGATTCAGATCTGAAGGTTGGAGACTTGGACTTAATGGATTAAGTTGAAAAAGATGTACTTTTGGTCCCTTAGAGACTTAAAGACTAGATCTTGGTTGTTTGGACCATTCTAATAGATAGAGTTGGAAACTTTGTATATTATGGAGTTATTAGGAACCATAAAAATGTGATCTTGGACCTCCTATCCCTTCCATGCAAGAGTTAGGATGTCTTAATGGATTAATAAGTTAGGGTTTTAGCTTTTGGACGTTTTCGAACCATGGAAAGTCATGAAGGCGGAAACTTTATGACTTAAGTCGATGTTTTGAGATTAGATATGAGTTTGGATGTTTTGGTCTTAAGCATTAAGTCCTAAAATGAGAAAATGGTCACTAAGGGGGTATGTTGGGCGTACATATGCGTACACTCAGCGTAATGCATGTTTTCCCCGGTATCATGTTGTGGCAGATTGTACGTTAGGCATCAACGCGTAGTACACGGGGCGTACTCATGAAACATTTTTTTGGGCTTTTTGGGCATCAAGTGTTTTGGGAGTTGGGCCATGAGTTGTTGGGTCAAATATGGGAAGGGTAAAATTGTATTTCACCATGGGTGTTGGACAAATAAACTAGATTCCGGGTTTTGGTTATGGCCCAATTTTTAATTGGGGTTTTATTTGATTGGTTAGCTTGAGGATTCTCCGCTTCAAAAACCTGAGCATTTGTTTGACTGACAGCAAACTGAGGTGAGTTTGCTCACTATATTGTAGGACACTAGGGATTATATGTGCTTGTAGTCTTTGTGATTCATGTTGTATGTGTTGTATGCATGTGTTCCTGTTTGGTATATGTATGTGGGGTGAAATAGAACTGGAGGTGAAATAGACTCGATACAACCTACTGGTGACATATGAGTTGAAATAGACTCGGGGTGAAATAGACCTGGTACGGATTTGGGCCGACGCATGAGTTGAAATAGACTTGACACAGCCTTAAGCTAGCACATATGTATGGTATGTGGTATTTTGGGGAACTCACTAAACTTTGTGCTTAAGGTTTATGTTTAAAATGTTTTTAGGTACTTCCGATTCGAGAGGGAATGGCCCGGCTTGATTGCAGCACATCCACCCATGTTTCCGCACTTTATGATTTTGGTATTGTACCCTGATAACTATTTTTACTCTGGTATACTTTTAAATGATTGAAATGATTAAATGGTGTTTATGGTTAAATTAAAAACGATTTTTGTTACCTTAAAATTTTTGGGACATTACAAGGAAGAAGAAAATGGGAATTAAGGTCATCTACAACAATAGGAACGCGATCGATCGATACTAATCCAAGTATCATCATTCTCTTTTAGTCATTCTCACTTGCCTTCATTCATAAAAAAAAAATTAGAAAACTTATTCAACTATTCTCACCTTCTCTGTTTCTCACTTTCTTGAATCTCGACAATCTCGCCTTCGGCCTTCCCTTGTGTTGATTTTAAAGTGAATCGATTATATCAGAAAAGGTATGTGCTTCTAATTTTTATTTATGATTTTTGTTTCTGATTTCAAAATCGATTATGATTTTTAGTACCAATTTCCAGTTTATGTTTATGATTTTTTAATTGATTAGAACTTTTTGAATTGGTTTCCATATTTGTGTTTCTAATTTCTGAATGTATTATGAGTTTTTGAATTGATCTTTGATTTGTGTTTCTAATTTATGAATGGATTCAAAGTTTCATAATTGGTTTCTAATTTCTTAATGTATTAAGAGTTTTTTTGATTGATTTCTTATTTGTATTTTTTATTTCTAAATTGATATTAGGGTTTTTTTTTTATTTCTGAAGCGACTAGGAGCTTCTGAACTGGTTTTGATTTGTGTTTTTGATATTTCAGTTTTATATAAGATTTCTAAAGTTATTTTCACCCTAAAAGAATTAAACTTAATGCTTTAAGTTATAGATTTTCACTCAATAAGGTAAAATGTTTATAGATTTTTTTAAGTAATTGTATAATTATATGTTATAAGTTCCAAATTTATTTCATATAGCATCTTATAAACAAATATTGTCACTGTTATATCTATAGAGGGAAGTGATAGAGAAGTATTTGTAAGTTGGAGTTATTAAAGAATTACTTAAAGTTATTAACGTCGTAAAAAATATTGAATGGTTTGGCAATATTATGTATAGAGAAATATATATTAAATAAATTTGATCTTTGATAGTATCATTAATGATTTTGTATAAAAAAACTAAAAGAAATATTTTTCCTTAAATTAGTTGTTTTTGTTAGCATTGTGGCTATATTTCAAGCTTTTGATAATATTATTAACGATTTTTGCAACCGGTATGTCTATTTTTAAAGTTTTATTATATTTTTAACTTTATGGGGCCATTTTTTCTTCTCGCACTGAGCTCAAAATATATTTGAACCAATCCTGGTTAGATGGTATATGGTGTGCAAAAAAGAGAGAAACCAAATGTGAACGATTTCAGGTTGTTGAACATTCTTCCTTACCACCTCCTCCACAACCACAATCGCCACCACCAAATCGACCTCTGCCACTGCCACTACCTCTACATCCGCCATAAACCGCCATTATTCATAATTTACTTTTATATGTAACCACATGTGATTGTAACACCTTTGCCACCTCTATAACACCCAATATTTCTTTAATTTTACTCATACAACAACTTTCTTTGTTGGAGGGAGACGAACATATAAATAATAATTGTACTTAATTACTCATGTGTAGCGACACAAAAATCAAGGGTAAAATTTTCATTTTTAGTATAGCTAAAACATTAATACCATGTATCTCAAACATTTCAAATCATCCTTAAGTAAAACATTTATCAGAGTTTATCCCAAAATCATTCATTGCGGAAATCATAGGTGTGTGCACTGCGATCAATCCGAGCCCTTCCTTTCCAAAACGATGATACCTGAAACCATAATCAAACATGTAAGCACGAAGCTTAGTGAGTTTCCCAGAACATACCACACACATAATCCACATGTCACATAAAATGTTAGCTATAAAACCTACCTATATCACATAATCCATGTATACATAAACCTGTAAGGATGTCGTAGGCTCCCCCAAGGTCTTATACCATAGTGCCATGGGCTACCGCACATGGTCTTTACCTAGGAATGCCATGGGCTACCCCACATTGTCTTACATCCAACGTGCCATGGGCTACCCCACATGGTCTTTACCTAAGAATGTCATGGGCTACCCCACATGGTCTTACATCTAATTGCCACGGGCTTCGCTCGGGGTCTTCCATGAAATAACATACATAATCACATAACATATCATATATCACAAAAATATCTACACATAACACAAACATAAACATGTAAGGATGTTGTGGGCTCCCCCTAGGGTCTTATACCATAGTGTCATGGACTACCCCACGTGGTCTTTACCTAGGAATGTCATGGGCTACCCTACATGGTCTTACATCCAATTGCCACGGGCTCCCTCCGGGGTCTTCCATGCAAGTATCACAGAGACAACTAGCATATCACATAGCATATAATCACTAGCATACCATTTAGCATAATGCTACCTATCATACCACATATCCCTACTACAGCTAGTGTACCACATAACATAACATAGGCTGACATTGGTGCCTTAGACCCATTGGTATGGTGAGAAGACTCACATTGCACTGCAGAAGCTTCCCGCATGAATTCCTTAGCT